AGAGAGAAAAAGATTTAGAAAAAAGATGAGAAGAGGACTACCTGTCCAACACCATCAATACATACCATCTCATTAATTATGCTCTTTGCTACCCTCAGTTTTTGGCTCATAATATTGAATTTCGGTTACTCTAAGAAGATGACCTCGCCGATGATGGTTCACCCAGAGACACTGAAGCCAGGGAAGATGCCCAAACCCGTGCATTTTTGGCACCTGCATGGAAGTTCCTGGTCTTGCAGAATCTTAACTTCGTCCAAACCCTCCTCACATCAATCATGTTAAGTACCCGTTCAAATAATTGGTTTGTCTCACCAAATATTTCCAAGTTCAGATGGGGAACATATGAGAACCAGAATGCTTTTAGACGTGATAACACCTCCGGGAATATAGACATAAGCACTTTTACAATAAGAAAGAGCATGGTATATACCAAATAAGGTTCCTTCTTCATTATGCCCTTTGTAGATGATCCACTCCATAACTGCACAGTCGATTTATTGCTATCTGCCAAACTCATTAATTCATCTTCAGCAAGATATTGAATGGGTTGAAGTCCTGAAAGTGAATCATAACAAATATTATGTATATGATTTAACAAAACAATGGTGTTAGGAACTCAACCGCTGAGCTTTAAATTACTTTTTTTCATTTTCTACGCAGCCATTAGCCCGAGGCTGTCAATAATGAGTTTGCATAGACAATTTCTTGTAAGAAAGTCATAGGTTAACATGTGTATACAGCTGGAGCAGAAAAAAGAGAAGAGGATAACAAACTAAGGCTTAAGGAGTAAGGAGAATGGTTACCGGTGGTTTTCTCATAAAACTGTACAAGGGAGAGAAGATCCTTCGGACCGCGATAACGCACCCTTGATGTCTGGTTTACAACTAAAATGGACGGCAAGCTATGAATTCCATATCTAGAAAACACACTGCAAGAAATACACCAACATAGTTATTGGTAGGCAAAAGACTGTATCGACTACAGCAAGAAACTCCCCGTGCACTATTAAGAGAATTGTTATAAACGAGAAACCTACTTTAGGTTGAAAGTGTAAAATTTAAAATTAAAAAAAAAAGAAACTAAATGGTTGAAAATGAGGGATGCACCGAACTCCTAGAACAGCCGTAAGAAAGTCATGATTTTCACCACATGCAGACAAAAGGACCAACACAAGATAAGCAATGAATTTTTTTTATTTGAAATAACAAGATAAGCAATGAATGATAGAAACAACCTATTTAATATCAGAGAAATGCTGTGTGCATGACGTTCCCAATATTTACACTACCCAGCAAACCATAAGCTGAACTGAATCTAATGATACAAGGATAGCATTAAACCATAAACAATGGATTGCATAAAAAATCTCACTATCACTTCTTACAAATAACAAACATGGTACCTGTGCGCACTTAATTTGAATATCTTTTTTGAGTTCCAAAATCAATCCAAATAGGTTATTTTAAAAATACATAAGAAAATAACCAAATTATATGCACAATGAATAGCAAGTCAAGTAAATGGCTCCATACCTTGGCAAAGCAACTGATTGTTCAACTGCCAAATGTTCTATTTGGGGAAACATCGAGCTAAGGACTTCAAACTTGGGATGCATATTACGAGAAAATGGGCACCAGGATGCATAAAAAAGTACAGAAATATAAGCTTTCTGCTTGGAATTCATAACTCTGTCTAGGAAATTGCCATCCACCTTAAGGAAAAAAATGCAAAGAAAATACACATAAATGTTAACAAACTTGTCATTTACCTAATCAAAAATAGCAAGCCTAATAAAATTTGAATCATTTGGGAAAATAAATCTCATACATCTCATTAGAGAATCACCACTAATAGCATGGTATAAATATATGGTACTAAAATAAATAGACATAAAAGTGATCATAAGATGCAAGCTTTAGCGAGTCCACATTGACAAGCATGATAACTGTATAGTGGATACCATAAAGTACAAGCAGAAAGTCACAAAAGTTGAATTTATTTAGAAACTAATAAACAAGGTTTTTAATAAATTAAAATCGAGAGGCATGAGAATCATAAAAACCAAATAGTATTTTCAATTGCATTAGCAAAGGAAGGCAATCAAGGGAACTTGGTTATTTTTTCAAATGCTTGCCACTGAAATTATTTCTCATGCCCCTCTTTGACTTCATCCACCTTTTTCAAGCCACAAAGCTTTTGGTGTTTGCATAATATGATTCATATGGTATGAGTAATAACTTACTGGTTTTAGATAGTTCAGCAACACATGTATTAACTTTTTAAACCATAAATTGTTTATTACTTGCCACAACTTTATGCTGTTTTTTTAAATAAATATTGTTAGCTAGCATTAGTTTATTGTTTCATAACCTTTTCGGAGATAGAGTACTTAGACAAACATGTTCAAATAATCTAAACTCACACAATGTGAGACCCATACAACTAAAAATCCAAGTAACAAGACAACAAGAGCCCCTATACAAAAGTATTTACAAATCAGTTAGTGCATCCAAAACCCTCCCAAAATCATCTCATCCATACATATCATGCTCAAGAACAAGAGTCCTAAAAGTAGCTAACCATCTATCTCTAATTTTACCAATGTCCCTTGCACACCCATAGAACACTATTGTTTCTCTTTGGTGTCATATACGTAATACACATGTTTTTTATTTAAAAAAGAAAAAGACAACAAGAGCATGTTTGGAATTTTAATTGGCTTTCTTTTTGGCAAAAGGCAAACATATAGGAAAAGATAAAAAAATAGTGTACAAATGCAAACAGGGATCATCACACAACAACCTCAAAACCACAAGGAAACAAAGGAAAAGGAAAATCAGTACAAGAACAACAACCCAGTCTCTTTGTGAAATACCTAAAGAAACACCTGAAAAGGCCATGAACTCCAACTCAAACAGACGCCAAGAAAACTAATCTGTTCCATGACAAAAGAGCAGATAGGAGTCAACCTTCGGAAAGTCCAGCATTGCTTTCCAACGAAAACATTCACTACCCAGTGAAATCAACCCCTTCTCCAAAACATTGTCTGATCCTTTTACTCATGAAGACACCAAGAGATGGGGGACAAACACAACTCAATATAAAATCCCATAAAGCAGCCCAGTCTCCAAGCCAGACCACACCAAAATGGATAATCTGGTCAACGCAGGATTCAGATAGACTTATTCACAAGCCCAATGGCATACTCAAGCCCATGAATCAGGCACACAATTTAGGGGGCTTGGACATATATTTTCAACTTGCAGGCCAAGCTAGATACAAAATTTGGGCAGGAAATCTTAAGGTAAAGCCTAGGACCTATCAATTTACGCCTCACCCAACTCAATTCCAAAATATATTTTATATTTTTTCACTTTGTTATCTTTAATATACATTACTCAATATTTAATTAAATTATAAATTCTATTATTTCCTAACCCTAACACACAGACGACAGTATTCTTCCTTCCTCTTTTCTTTCCATCACCAACATCATCTATTCTACCACCGCTACTCCATAATCATCACTCATCATCCATTCCACCAGCATTGCTCTGGTTCCTCTTCAAGATTCAATAGCTGGAGCTCTGCTTCAGACTTCAAGTTCAGTTGCAGCTACTTTGTTTTCGTCTTTAAGCCTTTTACATTGCCTTCATTTAAGTGCCACTCTCTCTCCATTGCTAGTGGTTTGCTGCTCGTTTAGTCTTTGATGACCAGCTTTCACGAATCTTTCCTCTTCTTATTCAAAGTTTTTGTCTTGTTTTTGTGTTTGGTGGGTAATTTTCTACTCTGCAAGTGTGCATAGTTTTTTTTGTAAAGGTTAGCTTGTCATTAGTAGGCTGGTCTCTAGTTTCAATTTGAAAAGACTAAACGAGATCAAGCAAAGAACATCAATTCATCAGGTTTTCTAATCATTAAGGTGTCTCTAAAAATCAAACTTATCAAGTTTTGCGTCTCCAAAATGGGTCGAGAATCAAAGACAGGGCATTATTATTCCTGGACAAGCAGTGCGAGTGATTGGACAAAGAAGAATCTCCCAAGTATATTCCCAAAATAAAATACGGTTGCCATCCCCAAAACTTAGCAAAGAAGAGCAGAAAAAGAAGCATAAACCTAAGATATGTTTCCCGAGGTCTCCTGTGTGTCATAATATTCCTGATCCTAAAATACCATCCATTCTGGCGCATATACTTGCTCTTAATCGCCACAGTTCACAAAGAAAAAGATTTCATAGGAAAATGCCAAAGACACATAGCCAATTAGACAAGTCCTTTGACATTATGTTCTCAAACCTATGACCTGCATCCTTCCTTGAGAGAGAGCACAGATGCCACCTAACAAGGTGATCTCTCATTATCTTCCTGCAACCAACCACATGAAATTCCTCATAGAATTCTCAAGTCTATTAGAGACAACCACAGATTTTAGAAAGAGAAAGATAATATAGAGGAATACCTTTTTTTTTTTCGGAAATAGTATATGAGACCCTTGGTATTTTGGTTTTAGGTCAACCAATGCCATCTATGGAATTTCTTGCTGAATTAATTAATGTACTTAATGACTTGTAAATAAGTCTATACATGGGTGGCATCTCCTTGGTGCCTATACTTAATGAGAATACTATACTTGTCATTTCAAAAAACAGTATAATGTGTATTCATTAATTACCAACCCATGTACAAAAGATATTTACACATAATATAGAGGGATACAATACAAACAAGCCTAAGTACTAGTGATCGGACTTCAAAAGGGAAAAAAAAAACTTCCAACAATCAAGATGTTAGATCCAACAAAAAAGAGGAATGGTGATTTTACTAAATAAGATAACAAAATGACTGATATGCCAACTCACATACAAGCAAAAGACTCAACTTATCCCAATAAATCTCTTTAACGCAGTCATCATGGATGGAAACTACTTCAATAGCAGGAGTTAGAACAAGATTATTGAAATGAGGAAGTCAATCAATATCATCAGGATGAATAAAAGCAACTGCAACATCATCAATATTTTGTGGCATAATTAACAATTGAATTTTGATGGAGAATAGGATGACATTTTGTATCTAAACCCGCCTAATTTAACTCGTCCAAAACTGATCCGATCGATTTTTTAGTGAAAGTACAAGTTCAGGTCAGGCTGGGCTCGAATTATAGGGAAAGAGGGACAGGTTTGGGCAGGTTCGGGTTTGGGCAGGTTCGGGTTTGGTCCTTCAAAACCCTTCCAAGCCCAACCACTCTGTATATATCTGTATATTTTTTAAATAATAATATAACTAGTATATGTTATTATATACATCAATAAATATATTTTTAATTTTTTCTTAATATAAATATAATCATATTTATATTAATATAATAAAATGATCAAGTCGGGTTCTGCTTAGACAACCCACAAATGCAACACGGTTTGAAATTTTTTTTAAAAAAAGTTCAACCTAAACTGGCCTCAAGGCAGGTTGATTTTTCTCTTTATCCCAAACCCACCCCGATATCATCCCTAGAAGAGGTTGGTTGAAGGTCTTTGGTTCTGATGGTATTGGTGGTGTAAGCTACTGCCTGGTGGTTGCCAGTGATATGAGATATGGTAGGATGTAGAACTTTTTTCTTTGGTTGATTCCTTTTTTTTTCAATATAGAAACTTTTCTTGGCCAGATGTGGTGGGAAATTTTGGAGCTTTTTGTGTTTTTCTTTATGTAGTATAAAAGAGGAGAAGGTAAATATAATAGAAGTTGAGCTTCAATACCAACTAACGCAGGACAAGCAATGATTAAATTTACTCTAAAGATACTTTGGAAATAGAAGAAAATTAAATGAGAAACAAAAGAATAAAGACAAGTAAGAGGAAATAAGAGACCAAGATTAGGAAGAAACTGACAAAACAAGATAGGTTAGACGAAACAATAATATGAAGAACGAATATAAAGAGAAATAATAGGTAACAAAACTCTAACAAAGAAATTCTTAATTCATCAAATGTACATTCTTCTTTTCTTAGTAGCTACTGACCTTTCTATAAACATTAGCTACAGTTAATAAAATTATAAAAAGAAACATCTACAATGTCAGCGATAGATATACACGTTTGGGTCTGTTATTTTGGATCATGACATTTATAGGGTGGAAGATTTTGGAAATGTAAATATCTTGTACAGAGGTAGCACCCCCTTGGTGCCGTTACTTATTACTATTCTTTCTTTTTATCTCAAAAAAACAAAAAAAATCTAAAAGATTCTAATTCTTAATCTAATATCTACATAATTTAGAAACTAAAATATCATAATTCCTAAATAAGATAAATAACTTTAAAATACAAAATAATAGTTATTATCACCAAACATATCTTTGATAAAAATATATTCCAAATTACGAGTTTTTTTATTCTGCATTACTAGCTTATTTATTTATTTATCAAGTTTATAACTCTGAAAATAAGCTAATTGACTAAAGCTTTTACAATTTGACAAAGTTCATACCCATGTTCTTTTTCGTGGGAGACAATTCCTACCCATTGTCATGACTCAAATTTGTTGTTTATGGCATTAATCTAAATAAATGGCAGCAAAATTTTTTTCATTACTTAAATATAGGCAATTGTCTATTTCTCAACTATCTTAATAAAAAACATATAAATCCATATTTCCTATTAGTAAGGCTTTTAGTAATGCTGGATTTTACTTTTGTACATAAGGCTTTTAATAATGGGGGAGTTTACTTCAAAATAAAATCCGTGTGAATGAATAACTTCAAAATTTTTTCATTAGTAGTTTGTCGAGTAAGATTAAGAATTATTCCTGTGAATAGCCAAAGCAGAAGAGTGCGTATTTTTTGGGATACCTCTTTTCTAACTTACCCAGCACAAAATCTTCGAAAATGCCAAACCTTCTTGTCTACAAAAAGAACCTTTTTCTACCACAACATTAGTGGCTTTTACTTATCCTATAAACTCCCGGGTAGCTAGTTCTTAGTTAACAGTCCTAGACCTCCTATAATGCTCGAAAAAAAAAAGGCCATGCACAAAGAGCTGCCTAAAATTCCAAAAGAATTGTTGCCAAAACTTACAATTACTAGATTTCTTTGCTTCTCCATATCCAGGACTTAGATTTATATCTTATTGAAACAGAACAAATTTCAAATTCTTTCTTCCAAACGGTACACAACTCTTTTCTCTTCTGGTTCCTTATTAGTACCACGTGAATCCTTACAACAGAAGTCAACCATTAACAAGGATTCTGATTCTCCATTTCACAGACCACAAATTCGAGAATCAAAAGCTAGGGTTAGCGGCAAGAAACCCTCGAATGAGAAGAACAAATTCAAACACTCTCTTAACAAAACCTAACGACCTTAATTACAATAGAAACAAATATCAACAAGACCGATTATGGACAAGCCAAAGGCCGCTTGCCACCGCAAGACAACAAATCGAATCAAAAACCAAAAACGATAAATCAAAAATAAATTTCAAGAAATTAAGCTAAACCAAGCCGTCCTCGTACAGAAACTGATAAAACACATGCAATAAATAAATAAAAATAAAAGAAAAAAATACAAATATATATATATATAGAGAGAGAGAGAGAGAGAGAGAGAGAGAGAAAAGAGAAAGCGTACCTCTAGCGGAGGAATTGGGGAGATCTCGAGAGGGCACTGAGACAAGATTCCATTCCGGAAGACATGAGATTGGTGAGGGCAAAGAGTCGGCGACGGCGAAGACGAAACGAATCGTAAATAAGACAAGAAGGTAAGAAATAGGAAGATGCCAGAGAAAGAAAAATCCATAGATAGAACGGGTGGCGAGGTGTAGCTATGGCAGGAGGTTGGGAAGACAAGGCGACGGAAATTAGGAAGAAAAAGGAAGGACAAAATCGGAATCCACGATAAAAAATGAAAAGCAAACTGATCTATTTCCTTTCTTCCTCTTTCTCTGTCGTCTGTATATAGCGTGTTTGGTGTCCGCGTTTTATACCTTATAAAATACCATTCCCTCACTGTTGTATAGATCACTAATCTCTCTCTCTCTCTCTCCCTTGGTTGTTTCTTTTATCCTCTTCTTCCCTTCACTCCTTTCTCTCTGTTTCTTTTTTCAACCATTTGTTACCTCATATTTTTGTAAGGGAGATGCTTATATTTTGTGTGTATGTATATAATTAATCATCATAATTAAATTAATTAATTAATTATAAATGCTGTTTAAGGAACAAAACTTGGATTGTTAATAGTGAAAATGGGTTAGGTGTAGCATGTCCTTGGCCAAAATTAGAACTAAATACATGTGGTTGACCCACACACATTTGTTACCCCCATCAACCCCTTCTGCCTTCCTTCCCCAACTTCTATCCCTCACCCTCTTTTTTCATTTATATATTCAATTTATTTGTAATAATAATTAAATTGAGAGACCTTTTAAATTATGGATGAAATTTAATCGTACATCTTTTAAATGTGAAAATTAAATTAAATTTGTTCCACTTTCTTTCCTCTCTTGATTTCTCTTTTCAATAAATCTAAAAATAATGTGTTATTTATTTGTAAATTCACTATTAGTTTAATTAAAAAAATTTGTGCAAAGAATAATTTTTGGAAAACAATATTTTAATTAATTAAACATTGTAAAACAATAATTTCGCCAATAAGGGATTTGAAAAATCCGAAATTTCTTATAATGTTGGATTTTTTTTTTTTATGTAAATAAAACTTAAATTTTTATTGAATTCATTTATTTTAAAAATAATATATTATAATTTAAAAGATAAATATCATTAAAATATTTTAAAAGATAAAATTTTATTAATTATATGATATATTAAAAAATAAATATATAATAAATTTAATTAAAAATAAAATTTTATTTAAATTTAAACTAATAAATAACAAATTTAATTCGTATTGATGCAAGACATTATGATAAAACCAACACGTCTATTATTCACATACTAAATTCATATAGAATTAGACAATATATTTTAATTTTTATTAATTTTAATAAAATTTAAATTATATTTTATAAACCCACACGAAATTTCATATGAGATTATTTGAAATATAATTTTATTCGTATTTATTCACATAAATTAACTATAGAGTTATAACGACAAAGAAAAATTTATATTTATTATGCTTTATTGTTATTTTCTATAATTTTTATCATAAATATCATATCATTTTATTTTGTAAAATTAATCATATTAGAGTAGCAATTTTGGCTTGTTTGCGTGCTTAAACGACAATTTGTTTTTAATTTGTATGTTGGATTAAAATTCATTGTTATTTTTTAAAAAATTATATAGAAATAAGAAGGAAAATATTCGAAAACAAAATTAATTAAACATAATTTAATTTAAAATTGTCACTTGCACTCATTAAAACAAATTATATCCCACTAGTTTATCAATAAAATATGAATTAATTAATGTTAAATTATTTTATAAGTTATTACTTAATATTTTTCAAGGGTAAGTGATATTTTGGACTATATTTATGCCTCCGAAATTCGTCTAACTATATACTACTTAATAGTTTTACTTTAAATATAATATATAAATTTATTATAATAAATAATTTGTAATTTTTGTTTTCATATTTATAATATTGGAAAATTTAATTTTGTGAAATTCCATATATAGCCATTAAATTTTTTTTAAAAATTAAGTCGCTATTTCTCATTTTCTATCTCCTTAGTCAATGCGTGTATACATTTTTTTTTATTATAAGTTAAATCCACACTCGCTAGATATTTAATTTTATACAATTGGGAAAAAAAAATATCTGGAGTAGATTTTTTTAGGAAATTTAAATTAAATATATGAATTTTTTAATTTAATGTAATTTAAAATAACATATATTGGGCCTCTGAAAATCTGAAATGGGCCGAAGCCCAGAGACTCGGAGAGTTTTTTTCTGGTAGAAGTTTCCCCTGCTCACGCTTCTACCTTTCCTTCTCCTTTCTCAATCACCGTCCTGGTATTGCAGAGAAAGGATTTTAGGGCTTTTTTTTTTGTTTGTTCGGATAAAATCTGAGAAGAAATGGAGATTACTGAGAAGAAGGAACACCAAAACAACAACGACAACAACAGTTCACTATCTTCGGTTGATTCTACGTCAGCTACTTCTGATAATAACAATAACAACAAAGAAGCCGAAGAACGCCAAGCTCGTGAACTTAAGGCCGGTTTACATCCTCTCAAGGTTCGTCTCTTGTCCTTCACTCTGTATTTTCTCGCATGTTGTGTATGTGTTTTTGTACATCGTTGCTTTAACTGACGGTTGATGTGTGTCGAATGTTTCACTCTGTTTCATGTGATCGAATCTGGAGATTTAGTTTTGTTTCATTTGGTAGCTGTTTGCTTCGAACTTTAAATGGTTTCTTTATGGAATGCTCAGTCTGTTTCGTGTGATCGAATATGGGGATTTATAGTTTTGTTTAAATTAATTGGGACTTTAAATTTTTGAGCAACACTGTAGGACTTCTGAAAAATGCATAATTAAAGTACTTGTTCGCCAAAAAAAATTCGATTTTAACTCAAATGAATTTTCCAGAAATTTGTATATTTTTTCTGTCTGATCATGTGAGATTGATTCATCTTTGTCTTTAGAAGAAATTCCAGCGTATAATTTTTTTAAAAATCATTTTGCAAATGGACCAATCATTTTTTTAAAACATCACTTCTTACTACGTGAGAAATTATGAGTTATCGTAACCTGGATTGAGAAATGCCTTGTGCTTGTGGTATCTGAAGGGCAAAGATTTTCAGACTAGTTAAGTCTGTGAAATTTTGTTAGAGAACCAAAAGTTTAGTGATTATCCTTTCTTACAAGAATTAAGTCTCAATCGGACACACATTTCACAATGAAAAACCTGAAAAATAATAGCAGTAAATCTCTAAAAGGTGCTATAAGAATTTTGTTTAGACGAGCAAGCCAGGATAGAGACCTTGTCTTTTATCCTGCATTATGTGGTGAAATTACATCTTGATATGGGTGTTCTTGACATGGAGGTGATGGTGGAATGAGACTCTAGTTGTTAATGCCCAATGGAGAAACAAGGAGCATCTCTTACGATAAAATGCTTCAAAGGCTATAATACGAAATCCATCTTTTTTAAGAGTTCACATGTTCTTTTGTGCAGATAAGATTTTCCTTCTTGAGACTGTGCAGCTTATCCAATGCCATTTTTTGGTCCTTTTTAGGAACATTTCCAATGTCATTTCTTTTATTGTCCATGATAACCCAATATAAGTTCTTTCTTAATTTCGTTCATCCAATTGCGGTTACAACTTTAAGAGATACTTATAGTAGCTTCCCTATTTAGAGTTGGGGCTTCTCTTTGTTGGATAAATAGGTAAAAATTCTTCCAGTCTTCTTGAACAGGCAGAATATTAATTCTTATTTTAAATGGTAGATCTGGAGATATAAATGATTTGAAGGAAAGTATATGCTTCGGAAGGTGAATGAACGTTAGGGTGCTGTCGGGGCTGTTCCCATATGGGGAGTTTTTCAAGGGTAAAATTTTTTGAAGTCTTATCTATAAAAAAGTAACTTTCTCTCGTAACAAAAGTGGACGCTCCGTTCTAAAATAGAGAAAGGGTCTTTCGCATTATAATTAACGTAAATG